TAGGGTTCAAATCCACTCCAAATATCATGTGCCCTTTGAGATCTGGAAAAACAGGAAAGGAAGCATGGCTATTCCAGCCATATCAGTCAGACATCAATACAACTCATTTGGTAGAGAACAGCCTTGGGCCTCTCCCACATGAGGGTCCAGATCTGGTGTGTGTTTCAGGCTCTGAGAAAATTTTTGTGCAAAACTGAGGGAAAAGCAGGGAATAGGGCAAAATTCATAGTCAGCAACAAGTGAGAAGGCAGGATTAGAATCCACATCTAACGTAGTGGAGAGCAGTCCTCTAACCATAGAGTCAACTGGGAATTCACAGGAAAAAAATGAGGCATTTCCAACCATCCTTTGGGCTATATTTTGTGACTGTATGGGGTACTATAGAATAAGTTATAGTTGGCATGCATGTTGACCCCAGCTGAAACCTTGCATGTGGTTAGCTACCAAATAGTCCAGTAAGGAGACCAAAGGGCAACAAAGGTTTAAACCCAACTACTGAGTAAGGGCTGTTCATACTGATTGGCTGCTGCAGACTTTGGTCATGTTGCTTAGCACCTTCCTGAGTAGCCCATTTCTCCACTGGTCTCTTGAGGTTTTTGGTGTTCTGCATCACAGCAGTCTCTGTTCTCCATCTCTCTTCCTTGTCATGTAGCCTGTACGGGTTATCACATATTGGCAGTGATCAGGGGATTTTGAGTCAGGAGGAGGTTGGGTATAGATCCCTGTCTGTCAGACCATGTAATGATCTGGGCTGTGCCATCAGAGGCCTACTAGGCCCTGGGAGCCTGGCTAGCAGTAGGTGAGGCTGGGCCTACAATTCCCAGAAGCCTCTGAGAGGTTTTGGAGCCCAAATTGACCAATAGGAAAAGAGGAGGGCTTGGAATAAAAGATCTGGAGCAGCAGGAAAAGCTGTTCTTCTTCCCAGAGGGCAGAGCCAGAAGGAAGGCTGCTGCAGGGAAGAAACCCTCATCCTGAGGGAAGGCTGAGTAGTCTAAGGCCACTTGAGATAGTGAGCTAGGGACAGTATATATTTAGACACATTAGGGCATTTGATTTCTTTTCACCCACTTACTGTTACTATTCCTGCACCTTGTTGTTTGACCTCCTTTAAAATAAACCTTTGTTGTACTCTGCCTGGTCCTCACGCCTATTATTTGGCCAAAAAGGAGGTCTGAAGGTCTTGGGAGGGTGCTCTGGGCCTTCTCAAGGGATCCTAAATCCAGAGTGATGGCAGCGTCAGGTGACACCCCACCTGAGCCGTGACAGACCCCAATAAAATAAACACAGTTATAAAACAATCCACAGATTTATTGAACAGCATCAGGAATGTAGTTCCAAAAGGAAGTCAGTTGAATTGGGTCGTCAGTATTATTAATAAATTACAATAACTTCATTTATAGCCCACCTTTCTCACTGAGACCCAAAAGTGAGTTACAAAATCAGAAACCATTCGACTAAAGATTTCTAATAAAACATAGCATAATAATGGTGGTAGCATTACAGAATTGAAAATAATGCAAACAAAATACTGTCTAAGGTGACAAAACTGTTTAAGGCTTGACATTGTGTAATGCAGGAAGGGTTACAAAGGCAAAAGGCATTGCATTGCAGAAAAAACGGTGATACATACAATAAACATTGTGATAGACTATGGTACTATCCCTTTATAATAGTGCCCTTCTGATGATTTCTGTTTTGTACATTCTGTGCTTCTGAGAGCTGCAGTGACAGGAGAATCGCAGGTAACAGTTGTCTCGATCAGTGCATGCCCATGACAAGTGCAGCGGTGCTGGTCCTGTGACTGGCCGGTAAACAGCTTGAATGGTGTAGGACCCAGGGCTAGCAACCCCACAGCAGAGCAAGTAGATGCATTTTGATCACTTCAGCTATTTGTCCTGTTGTAAACTAAGCAGATGCTTACACAGCATTATGTTGTGAACGTAGTCCTTCCTGGCCTCTACACTAGTTAGAAGGCTGCCATGAACAGCCAAAAGAGAGACAAGGACAATAATGATTTGTAGTAACAGAGAGCATCAAGCTTTCTGCACATAAACTACACATTGAAGAGAGTATTTGTCTTCAAGTTGCTGTGTCTCTTACTCTCCCTCTTGCGATTCTCATACAGTCAGATTCACTGGTATTTCTCTCTTATAAGGAGTTGGAACTCTTGACTTGCAGGGTTTTTTTGGTGTTTCTTCATGTGGATCTCATTCTGCAAGGCAAAAGGGCTCATGGCTGGCAGTGGTAATTGTTGGGGGGCTGATAGTCAAGCAAAATGTGGTTGTGGGTCTGTTTCCCCCACATGTATGTGGGATTACAGCTTTATGACATTGTGTTGTTGTTTGGTGATGTTCTGGTAGCATAACTCCAGGTTGCCCCCCCCCATGTTTTAATAATCTCACAAACAAAAAACAACAAAGGCTTTGGTAGTTGAAGTGTTTTTCTGGTAACAATATATTTCCTTACTAATTTAAACAGTTATTAATATAGGTCTGTGTCATTCATGGAAATATTCTGTTTACATGCATAATAAATAATATATGTAGATCAGGCTACATTTTTGCATGTGGGTATCATGCAATTTTGAAATTATGGCACTAAACCTCTTCATACAGACATTTGAATAATCTTTTTTTTCCCCCTGTGTGCAGGAATTGTAGTACTTGGAATAAATAGAGCACATACAAGAAATGCACTTAATAAAAATGTTATTAAAACGGTAAGTGGATAAACCTTTCATCTTTTTGATGTAGTGATTAGGAGTGTGGACTCTAATCTGGAAGAACCAGGTTTGATTCCTGACCACTCCACATGCAGCTGCTGGTGTGACCTTCATAAATTCTTTCAGAGCTGTTCTCTCAAGGGCAGTTCTCGAGAGAACTCTCTCAGCCCCACCTACCTCACAGGGTATCTGTTGTGGGGAGGGGAAGGGAAAGGAATTGTAAACCGCTCTGAGACTCCTTCGGGTAGTGAAGGGCGGTGTATAAATCCAATCTCTTCTTCTTTTTCTTTATGAATGTAGATGTTGAAGATAAGTGTATGTAGATGTTGTAGTGTATGTAGTAAGTGTATGTTGTAAGTGTATGTAGATGTTGAAGATAAGTGTGGATGACACAGAGAGTATTTCATCTTTCTGTGTTTATAACTCTGAGGATGCCAGTCACAGTTACTGGTGAAACGTCAGATTCTACAATGCCAAAACCACGGCCACACATCCCGGAAAATCTACAGCAACTAACTTGCACACCCTTTTTCTGTAGCTATCAAAAGTTCTGGAAGCTTTGAAAAGTGACAAAAAAGTACGGACAGTTATATTCCGAAGTGAAGTTCCTGGGGTATTTTGTGCTGGTATGCAAATTTTAATGTTACTAATTTTAATATTACTATGCATTTGGAAATCTGTGATCGGTTGAAATGACTATCCAAAAGCTGTTTCAGAAAATTCAGCTTTTGGGAGAAACTTCTATATTAAAGAAATATCTGCTATTCTGTTTTTAAGGTTTTGTGAAGTAAATTACTTCTGTTTTTCTTTTGTTTGTATTTCTAAAATTACCCTATGATAAGATGGACAGACCTTTTTGGAGAACATGTGTCATCTCGTATACATCCATTCTGTCATAAATTAGTCAGAATCTTTTGTTAAACCCAAATGCTGCTTTCTGAAATTCCCTGTTATTTATGGACCAAAATATATACTTAATAAAGATCAGTAGTATAGGAATAGGTTAAAAATATATGCCTGCAAGTTTTTGAGGCCAAGGACTGTATGCCTAAAGTACCTTCACTATTTCGAATATAGGAAGGATATTGTAGGATACAAGATTTTCATGGGCTGTGGTCACACGGAGCATTAGCCACACTACAGAGACGGAAGATAGGTGGATTTTCCGGGCGCGATCACAGCACCACATCTGGGAAGCGTAGAGCTCCCGTGCCGAGCCTGAGGCGTCCCGCCGAAGATGCGGGGTAAAAAACTAGTATCTCCAAGGTACTAGTTTCCGGAAACCGTGGGGCAAGGGCGGGCGCCTGATCGCGTTTCTGGTGGTAGGTCGTGGCATCCCGCACCCGCCCATGTCCCGTCGCGAAAAGGTTTTTGTTTTTTCAAGTCTCCACGAGATGCGCACAAGCGTTTAAAAACAAACAACACAGCCCCCTCCTCTTTTTCGTACCCCCCCCGGCTCGGCCTGCTCGAGAGGAACTCTCTGCACTGGGCGGCAGAGGTGGAGGTGCAGGGGGGGCGTGGTAGGAGGGTGGTCCGGCTGAAGCTCCTCCTGGAGGGGACTGGACGGAGGACACAGTTTGCATTTCTCTGCAGCCCTGGAAGGGGTTAAACCCGTGGAGCCTTTTGCTAGAGAGGCCACTTCTTTGCCGCGCCGCAGGACTGTCCTGTGATCAGCACCTCCCCCCTAACCACAGGACCTCAACTGGATGTCTGATCGCGCATTCGCGTGTTATTTTGCTCCAGGGCAAACAGCCACGCTCCTCCCCCCCCCTCGCATTTTCCTGCCCGTGTGACCTGGGCCATGGTTGTGTATATTGATAAACAGTTATGCTTTTCAGAGTCAAAGCATTATGACTCTCACACATACTTGCATTACTGTCATGCATTTTGAAGGTGAAATAAAGGTGTGGCAAGAGCCTGAAAGTGCAGTCAATTTAAAGTCTCTTCGTGCTTGGATTAACTGTTGTGATATGTGTAAGCAAACCGGAGAGTGAAACAAATAATACTGTATACACTCTTTTTCTGTTAATTTCCTTGCATGTTTCAAGAAAATAACAGAAGACTGTTCTGCAGCATGATATTAGTATAACATTTGAAGCCCATATGTTTAACTTGTGGTCTTAACCATTTTAATGGTTTCTTTTAATGGCTTGTTTTATATCATATTATTTTGATTGTAAGCTGCCTCAAGAAGAACTCTATGGAGATGGCATAGAAATAGTCCAAATAAATAGCTCTGCTATCTTTATGCAATACATGTTTGTATTTTATTCTACTATTACAGTACCAAAGAACTTATTTTTTTTGAGTTAATATAATGTGGATTTATATTATAAGGGCATTTTTGCACCCTTAATAGCTCTTCTAATGGCAATAGAAGTTATACTTTGAAAAACCTATAAAGGAGAATTAAGGAATTGCTGAAGCAGCTTTTACTTTAGTCTGTCTTGACAGTTGGAATTTTTTGTCTTATTAGACCAGTGGTAGCCAAGATTCTTAAAGTTAATAAACAGATGCATCATCGTCCCTCTGTACCCTCCTCCCTTTCTCATATTCAGCCTTCTTGCTTTGCCAGTTATTTATTCTTTTCCACCACTGTTATTCCACCAGAAAACCACTTGCTTGCTTCCATTTCACAATATTACCAGTCTGACCACTCATCATGTCATCTTTTGAATTTGTTTCCCCACCTTAGGACTTTGCTTGATTATATTTATGGATGAATTGTAAGCACCAGATTGGTAATAGTTACTGTCACAGAAGCTATTTAGCCGAGGGGCTAGAAGCCATTAAAACCATATGACAAGCAATGAGACTGAAAACTGCTTGATTTGTGCTACATTTGATAACATGTTTGCAAACAATATACAAGCATAGATGTGTGAAATGAAGAACGGGCAAGAAGGGATAATAGCAACAAACTTTTATGTGAGATCCTACAAGGTATTACTCTGTCCCCCTTTTTTCATTGTGTGTATAAAACTGATGGACTGCTTCAGGAAATTTCATAAATGTTAGGAAAACCTACTTTGCAGTTAACGTTCATCCTGTCCAAATCTTTCCACCTTGGTGTGCCTTGAATTTCTAGTTGTGGTGGACAGGACTACATTTGAGCTAATAAACTGAAAGTAGGTGTTTCCCAAACTGATATGTATAACTATTGGAATGACAAGAAATTGTCTTTTTTTCATTGCTTGAGTTTTGGGTATTGCTACAATATTAGCTGTAGAAGTTCCTGATGTAAACACAAAAGCCAAGAGAGCTCACAGCAGTAAATAGCAACTATAACAAGAGCTGGGGAAAGTTTGTAACCTGATGGGGGTGAGGTTAAGGGCCAGTTTCACTTTATATACTGAAGCATTCCACACAAAACTTTACCCTATTAAATACTTTATTTTCTATTAAACATTGGTTGTTCACCTCCATCTGTGACTTGTCTTTCCAGTCAAATATCCATGAAAAAAAAAAGGATTTCTTACCTTATAAATAATTACACAAATTTTCTAGCAGGGTCTCAAATAAGAGTCCTTTAGGGAACATTTAACACAGCTGCCAAACCTTTAACCTAAACTTGTGCCCCTTGTAACTGATTGTAGGCAGTTTAAAATGAGAGAAAGAGAGAGAGGCCAGAGTGTGGGATTGGACATCTGTGGGAAGTTGCCTCAGAGTTCTCCCTTTCTCCCCCTCTAAAGCCACCACACAGAGATTGAGCAAAAAAGCTGGACTGGATCCAACTGAAAGCTTATTATCATTTTGCATCAGAATGTTTTGTTATATGACATAAAGTGTGAAATTTTTGTCGTTGCTTGATAATATGCAAAGTTCACATCATTCCAAGGTGGTGGATGAATTAATTTCTCAATGGTTTCTTTCTATACTGGTTCCAATAGTCAATTAAATGGGGCTTTTTAAAGCAACACTGAAATTGGGGAGAAGTTAGGCAAGGATTATAGGCTGGTTTTTGTTGTAGTGATGACAACCAGGGTAAGCCCTATATTTATATGCTACTTTTGTCATAACTTTAATAAAATTTATGAGATACTCTGAAGGGGTTAAGATAAGGTTTTGTGGTAGCCATATTGGAAGATATTGTCATTAAAATATGAAAGCCTGAAGGCTGAAATATGAATCAGGCTTCTAAAATTCTAGGCTGGCTCCTAAAGCTAAAGAAGATTTGCCAAGGCTTGTTGTAAGACAAATGAATGTACATAAATACCTGGACTACCGTCTACTTAGTCAGACCACTGTTCCTACTAGCTTGGCATTATCTGTGTTGATGATCTGTGACTCCAGGGTGTCAAGCAGAAAATGGTATTTCTCAATACCTACTATGTGAGATTTTAACTGAAGATGCAGGGATTGAATCTGGAACCATAAGAGTGGGATGTGTGTGCTCTGCCATTGAGCTACAAGCTATCACCAAATGGCTGCTGCCTCATCAGCAGAGGTCATTTCGGGGGGGAACGCAGCTCCCCCGGGTGAGGTGCGGGGGGCGGGGCACACAATGAAGCCCCGCCCCCTGCTTCCGGCCGCCCTGCTTCCAGCCCTCATTCAGCCAGGAGGAGGCAGGAGAAGAGGGAGGGTAAGTTGCTTCCTCCCCGCCTCTCCCCACCCCTGCCTGCCTGGGGCCAGGGAGGGCCTTGGCGGGGCTTCCTCGCACTCCCGCCGGCCTTGCAGGTCCACCACTGGGCCCCTGATGTCAGGGTGTGTGGCATATGCTAATGAGTTATGCTAATGAGTTCCCCTAGCTCTTTTTCTGCAAAAAGACCCCTGCTCATCAGCATATTTTATTGACGTTTGTGCATGGGCAGTGTGTTTGTCTTGAGCTGTTATCATGACTCAACCAAAAGTATGGTGGCAAGGGGAAAGAATAGGACTCCTGATTGCTGTACTTAATGAGTGTTGCTCTGTGGAACTGGCATTTACATTATAAACTTCTATAACATATAACTTCCATTGTTTTCAGTAGGCATTTACAAACTCTTTGTTTAGGCTTTCCCCATGTGATTTGTCATCTCCTTCCATTTTGTTAGCCCATTGCAGAAGGTGTTCGATCTTACAAACTTGATTAGGAGATGAGAAACACCTAATGAGTTTATGTTGTTCATCCTCTTTCTTCTACTTCCTTTTACAAACTGGCACCTTCCTTTGCTTTTAAGAGGTAACCATGATGCAGAATTATATCACCCAGACTTTTGAACTATAGTTGTAGTATGTTTGAAAAATATGGGGTGATCTAAGCATGGCTAGCTTTAACACTGGTGCAGATCATGTGACACTGCATTGTGTTAGCTCCAGAAATAGTAGGGAAGAATGAATGGATGTGCCATGGTGAAGAGACATGGGTGAATTAAGTCTATAGGCTCCTGTTGATCTCCTGACCATGGCTGTTGAATGTAAACTTTATTTTCACTGAATGGTTGTGTCACATCCCTCCTTAGATTATAAATCTGTATAAGGTTTCTATTCTATTTAAATGCTTAATAAATTACTTGCATAAATATTTCAGTCATTACATAATAAAATTATTGTAGAAAGATTATCTGCTGTTAAATTTAATTGCAAACGCTGGTTTGATTTTCTTGGAAGTATGAACAATGCCATTATGATTAATGTAAGCTGATATGTTAATATTTTAGAACACTATTAAAAGTTTAATATTAATATGTCCATAAAACCTCACTTGTAGGTGCTGACCTTAAAGAACGAGCTAAAATGCATTCTAGTGAAGTAAGCTCTTTTGTTTCCAGAGCAAGAGCAACTATTAATGATATAGGTAAGTAAAGGTCCCTGATGATCTTAAGCACTAATATCTGGCTTCAAGCTTTTTTTCCACTGTGAAGTATCCAAAATAGCAAACATCTAAATATCAAATATCTAAAAATGGATATTTGGCCTTCAGTAAAAAAGTATCTCATCCTTTACAACTATTGTGTTATTTAATTCACTGATACATTACTTAATTTCAGAGCACAATTTGTGATACATATCCAACAGGGAATGTGAACTTTTTGCTCTGTCATTGTATACAGGTTATCAAAATTCTCTAGCACTCATGGTAATTATGTTGCTAGTATATTGTGCTAATCTTAGTACTACACCAGCTTTTTTTTATTAAGAAGCAAGCACTTATGAAAGGCTAATGTATTCTCTTGATAGGCAGTTATTACAAGAATGGGATTTACTTTCCCCCCCTTCTCTATTGAATTTACATACTAGTTTAATATACGTAATATTTAGGCCTTCTTACCTGGTGAAAATTGAAATGCCATATACATATAAAACAACTGTTAAATAACACTAGTTTCCCTTTTTAAAGCCTGTATTACGAGATTGTGGTGCTGGTGGTAGAAAGTGCCATCAAATCACAGTTGACTTATGGTGACCCCATAGGGTTTTTAAGACAAGAGATGTTCAGAGGTGATTTGCCATTGTCTGTCTCCACGTCACACCCCTGGTATTCCTTGGAGCTAAGTATGCCAGCCCTACTTAGCTTCTGAGATCTGATGAGATTGGGCTAGCTTGAGCTACCCAGGTCAGGATTTAACTTCCCCATCTAAAACATAACAATTGATAATCTATTAAATATGCTTTAGTAACCTTTGTGTGGGTTTTTCTGGTTGGGATTGGTTTAGGTCTCTGTTTTGGAGCAAGAACCTCCCTATTTAGTGCCCTGAATACTACATGCTGGGAATAAACAAGGGAGAACTGTTGCCCTCGTCTCCTTTTTTGTGTGAGGTATCTGGTTGGCCAGTATTTGAATTGGAGCCCAGGAGGGCTCTTAGGTTCTTGTCAGCAAACTAGGTTTGTAGATTAGCATGTGCACAAAAATGAGCAACCAACATCCTTACCTGAATTAAAAGGAATGTAGCCTCAAATCATCTGAAAAAAACCAAATGTTTTATATTTCATAAGTATCTTGAAACATTTCGTCATCTTATTGGCATGGAACAGGGGTCACTGGGGGTGTGGTGGGAGAGGTATTTGTGAGCTTCTTGCATTGTGCAGGGGGTTGGACTAGATGTTTGATCAGCACAAGTCTATGCTTCTTTGATTTAAATTACTAAAATGGAAATCATAATATTATGCTAATAGAACATCTTCTATGAACATAATCTGATTTGGATCTCTTGCAGTTGAATGCCAGTCTTTGTATTAAAATATTTAAGAATCCCTGGTGGTATCCCTGTGGATTTTAGTTAAGAACTTTTAATGTTTTGCTTTTATTATATTTTACTTTGTAAGCTACCATGGACAGGTTCCCTGGAGAGGTGACGTAAAAAGTTATTAAACAACTTAGCAGCCTCAAAACAGTGTTGTATGTGGGCAGCGTAAAATGAAGTGCTCAGGTCACTTGACTCCTGCCCATGGTACTTAATGAAAATGTGCAAACATTCACTTGGAGTTTAGAAATCAGTGTTTAGCCTTGAACTGTAAGCCAGATGTATTATAGTTTATACCGTTTTTACCAGCAAGACATAAGATAAATTATCATATCAATCTTCTGAGATAAACAGGAAGTCTTAAGAGTCACATTTCTTTTTAATATTTGCTGTTGGATGATAAATTCTTTACTCCGAAATGAATTTAGTGGAATTTATTTCTTAATCACTGTGCTCAGGATTTTAACTTAATCTAATACGCATGCCACCCAGAAGCCCCTGAGAGTTCTGTATACAGTCTTCACTTAAAGCTCTAGGATTTAATCCCCCAAAGTTTTTGTTTTGTTTTTAATTTCAGATTTTTCTGCACCCTGGGACTTACTTCAGATTTGTAGAAAGAATCCCCTTGGTTTGTCCCTAGCTGCATTTTGCAGTTCTATCAGTCATATCCATTATGGTGCAGTTTGGAAATTGATAAGATATATTGATACAAGGGACAGAAAAGTGTGTGATCTATAGCAGTTTGAGGCTGAGCTGAGTTAAAACCATGTGCTTGTTAATCTTTCCTGTAAAAAGGATGTAAGAGACAGACTGGTAATTGGAGGGATCATGTGTATCCTGTGTGGCTTTTTGACAAGGTTATGTAAATTATCTTAATGGGAGATAGTAATTTCCGTTTTGCAAGAATGCATTTTCTTCAGTAAGGCTAATTCTCACTTGTGTATTTCTTTTCTGGAGTATAGGTTAAGTATTGAATAGCTGTTGGAAGTGAGCTATTGGATTTGGAATGCTTTCTAAGAATTTTATTTTCTGCTGTCATTCACAGGTGGTGGAAGTTGTTTCAGTACTTCTGATCTGTATACTTTCTAGAAATCAATGTCTAATGTTGTGCTGCTTTGTACTTTTCCCCGCATGGTTATTTGACATACCTAATTTTTGTTGAAATACTAGCACTATGCTAAACTTTAATTGGATATAAAAAGCAGCATTTGTGCTGAGTTGCAGGCTACAGATTAGAGACACTGAGAGATGAAATATATCAAAGTCTGTTTTGTTTAGTATGACATTTCTGAAAGTAGAGAAGCATAGTTTGCAGCACAGGAACCCCAAGTTTAGAATACAAAATGAGCAGCTATCTTGCAACTTCCATTACTGAAGGAGGTCTGCATTTGTGTTAAAAAGTACTTGGAAGACAAAACATTAATGCAGTAAACTATAAACTCGAGTAAGATCATATTAATTACGGTACTGGTGCAAAAGGCATACTTGGAGGACATGGGAGATAAAAAATAAGGCCAAGGCTGATGGTGCAGAATCAGGTAAAATATATTTTATTTTTTAGTTAAATTTCCAAAAATCCCCTACACGTTTTGCCAACAAGGTTTTGTCAGGGGAATCTGTTCGTCTTGCAGTTGTTCTTCCAAAAGGATAAAAGTACTTGGAGGCCAGCCACATGGATTTTTGAAATACATTGTAAAAATCAAGATGATAAGCTGCATATCATAAATGACAGCTTTGTTATTTCCCTGGTACACCAGAATTTGTTAATATTTCTTTTGCAAAAAGTGTCCACACACATTAAAAATACAAACCAAGATAAATATTTTTGTGTCCATGGGCTGACACCTCACATAGATTTTTGTTTTTGTCTTGCTGCTTTCCAGCACGCTTTATGATTTACAGCTCCTTTTAATTAAAATGTAATTTAAATTATTCTTTAAATAGATGTTGACAGTTTACCCAATGACCTGTGAGATTAATGCTGTTTCCCATACTCAGAAGCAAAACAGGTGTTCGTGTTTTTAAGTAGTCAAGAAAGCTGACCTTGCCCTGACCTGGATAGCTCAGGCAAGCCTGATCTCATCAGATTTCGGAAGCTAAGTAGGGCCAACCCTGGCAAGTTTGGGATGGGAGACCTCCAGAGAATTCCAGGCCCAGGAGGCCAGAGGCAGGCTATCAAGCCACTTTTCTGAATGTCCTCCATGCCCCAGTAGGAGTCGCCAGAGGTCGCCATGACTTCCAGGCATGGGGGCGTGTACATGTGCACACACACACACACACATACAAACCCCTCTCCACAAAGAAAGCTGATCTTTTTCAGTTCAAGCTCATGTCTTTTCCAGTAACCCTCTGAAGTCAATAGTAGCCAACTATTTATTAACTTTATTTTTAAAAAGAGTTACTGTTAGCAAACTTTCACCTCTGCTCTTCATACCTCCAGGTCACTTGGATTTGTGTCAATACCGCTTGGCAGATCTAAGACTCTTCAATTACTTATGCTTATACACAGGCCCAGGGATGACTATTTATTTGCAGCTGCTGCTGCTTACGGTAAAAAGTGCAGATTGATAAAAGTCCATCTTGAAATTCAAAATTATTCTACCATTTATTTTTGCATTGACAAAGATTTCTGGAACATCTTTGCAGTCAGTTTAGATTACCATTGAACTGCTGCATAGAAAAACCCAGGCAGCATAATTTGTCTGTGGAAATAGTAATTCTGCTAAATCAACAGTGGCAAAAAAGCCATGATGTTTAAATGAAATGTCATTGAAACTTTCAACATTATTGTATTGTGAATTCCTGCTTTTTCTTTTCAGCTAATCTTCCAGTGCCAACTATTGCTGCCATAGATGGCATTGCACTAGGTGGTGGCCTAGAATTGGCTTTAGCCTGTGACATTAGAGTGGCAGGTAAGGTGTAATTTAATGAAGCTTAGAATACCACTGTGTAGATGGCAACATCTCCTTTATTTTTTTATACTTTTGTTTGTTGAAACTACTGACATTTGCTTTTTATTAATTATTGTACCTTGGCTCTAACAAGAGTTGGTCCCTAGGGTGCTACTGGACTTGAGTCTGTTGTACTGCAGTCCAACAAGGCAACTCCCTGAAACTTACTGTTTACCCTTTGCCATTTGACTTCAATTTGATATACTACATCCATACATGACTGAGCGATTCACATCTATAGAGGCCTTTCTTAACATTGTTAGAAGTTTAAAATTTTGCAGTTCTTTGAACTGGGTCAGTTGACTGACCAAATCTTTTTTGATTAGTCAAATGGCTAACCTTACTTTGGTATAACTTGTAGCTTCATTGATAAGTTATTTTTGGAGAGAACCTGGAATGAATAAATCTAGTTCTGCACTTTGTTATTTGTAATCTTTGTCACTGTAGGTGCAGGTGTTGATGAACAAGTCAAATGATAAGGAGATGGGAGGAAGACCCCAGTAATAAAACTTTTTCCCAGAAAATTGCCTGCTGGTTTTGCCACAGGTGAGCTAGCTGAAAAACCACCGAGAACCTTTACATTGTCCACTGGTTCTTGAGAAAAAAAGAACATAACAAACAGTGAAGAACTAGAGATGCTAGTATTCACTGCTTTGTTTTCTCCACTTCACGATACACTATACGAAAAATTCTGCTCCCATCTCCATTTGTTTCTACCACTGATGTATTCTACTACTCTGTCCTCCATAGCAGTGCATTTAAGGACCACATAGACCATTTTAATAAAGTTTTGTTGGAAGGGAATGTTTCTGTTTTAAGGACTGGATTGTTCAAGACAACTTAAGGAAACTTGAGCACACATGTGCATTTGGAGAGAGATGTTTGTGCAAAGGAGAATGATAGGGCAGTAAAACACAACAGAATTTAAAGGGGTTTTAATGAATTCATTTCCCACCTTCTTTTGTTTCCTTAAACCTTCTGTGATTTGGTGGATTTGCAAATCCTGTGGTAATATTTAGTGATATATTTTGTATAGATATTTGTAACACACTCTAAACCTATAGGATGAGACAGATTATGAATATTGCAATTAAAGTGTCATCTTATTCATTTATGCAATATTTTGCTCTCAGGACTCTGCAAAGAAAAGTCTATTTGAGAAGCTGATTTGATAATTTATTATTTAAGCAGAATATAGTTCCTAGAATCTGGTTTTATTTCTCAAATCTCTACTATCCCCCCCCCCCCAGTGTAGATGGGACTATCTATATTTTTGGGTGGGGGGTTGGTAGCAGTGAGCATATGAGAATAAAGTAGGCTGAGAAATAGTGATTTGACTAAGATCTCTCAGCTTTATGGTTAAGTGGGGATTTAAACCCAGCCTATATTCCACACCTCATAAAGGTCTTGAAAGAATCATGAATAATTGTTTGCATGTCTTTAAAAAAGAATGTAAAATAATTGTGGCAATGTCCCATGTGTACCAGGATACTGATTGTCACTGGTCTCTTGACCACTCCTTTCCATTCTGTCCAGGGGGTTGGACTAGAGGACCCTGGTGGTCCCTTCCAATGCTTATGTTTCTATGATTTTATACACACACACACACACACAATTTTACTATCCAGTTCTCTATTCAAAACTTGGCCTGTTTTGTTATCAAATATATGGGGTGTGGCATGCCACTTCAGCTTTCTCTGAGTTGAATAACTTACGTGGCAATTGTGGCAATACAGTCTCTTCTTTTGTCCTGTGGATTACACTGTCACATGAAAATTATGGCAAAACAGACATTTAGAATTTACTCCTGCTTAACTTTCCCATACTGTATTTGTAAAGAACAAAAGTTCACAAAAGCTTTGTGCTGAACAGTATCATATAAAAATTCTTTTTGTAGGGAGTTCTAGTTGGGCTGTTCCTGTATGATAAACTAGGTGGTATTCACTCTGTGGCTCACAGCCACATTCACATCTACCATGAGCCAAAAGAGTTACATGTACTCTCATCCCTGGCATGATATTTGCACTTCAGGAAATCTCACAGTTTACCCTTCCTTTGGCAGCAGCTGCTTCAAGGGGGGAACCAATTGCCAGCCACAAGACCCACTGGGCAAAAGGCCTTGCTTACTTGAGTGCCATGTTGGAGAATCATGCTCACAAGAGCCACGGGTGACTCCTAAGAGTCACTGATATAACTATTCTAGTTTAGTCGATGAACTTACAGGGTGAAGATAAATCATTCTGTAAAGCAAAGAGTTCCAGGACCAGTAGGATTCTAAATATATTTATTGTGATAAAGTATTAATAAAGCTGAGATTGTTGGGCAGAATAGATGACTGGTAGCCAGAAATTTCTTGAATTTCAGTTTGCAGCATATACCTCTAGACGATCTCTTCCAGTTGATTGCTAGAGAGAACACATCTTAACTGTTACCCACATTTAAAGGTTGTCATGATTTTTTGGAAACCTATTACTGTATTCATAAGTTACTATTTTTTTCATAAGTATTCATTTCTAATAGAAGGACTGGATATACAGGGTAACGTACAAAGTGCTTGGGTAACGTACAAAGTGCTTGCATCCCCCCCCCCCTCGCATATATATTTAACGGTATATTCCTCCTAGGGAACTTGGATAAATTGCTGTTTCCTCTGGGGGGGGGGTGTTAATGACATTTTGGTGTTTTTTGTATAACAAATGCTTCTAGGTTATCCTACATCAGTTTTCCTCTTGTGTGAAAATTGATCTGCTATAGAACCTGCCTTGAAAGGATATATTTGCATTCTGTTTTTGTACTTGCCTCCGTAAATAAATGCAGGGTTTGTTATTAACATTAGCCAGTACAGCATAACTACAGCAATGGTTAGCATACTTTACAAATGTTCCTTTTTATTTTGTTAACATGATTAATGTGGATTTCACAAGAACAAATTCTTTGGCTTTTTTTTAGTGACTTCTGCAAAAATGGGTCTAGTTGAAACAAAGTTAGCAATCATTCCTGGAGCAGGTATGAAATTTTCTTAGTAATGTTATTGATTTCATTGATGTTAGTGATTTTTATTGCTGATACATTAAATCTCTTTAAAATTAACAATGTATTGTAAGCAGTTGCCTTTGGAAAAAAATTAAATTATCTCTGTAGTGTTTAAGCAATAATAATATAAGCTCTGGAAATCACTCTAAACAGATTCCTTCAATATGGAGAAGCTACATAGGAAATATATGTTGGGAGAGAAGCTGGCTTTATTTGAGAGTGCAAGGAAACATATTGATGTGAAAGTGCTATGTGAACAATATCAGCTTTAGCTTTTTCTTAACCACTAATGTCTTTGTGAGAAATTTAGGCTGTGTTTATTTTTTAAGATAGAATGAAAGCATAGGGATCTGACCACAGTTCATATATTTGTGTTGATTCCGTCGATGAAGATCATTTATATTTAAACTTAGAGGACTGGCTTTCGAAAAATGAGGAATTTGTCTGAATTCGCCAGTCTTATATGGAAGCAGTCAATCAGTACATGGGAATTCTGGCACAGCTCCCTAACATCACCTACGATCACCCACACAACACAACAAGGGAAGGAAGACAGTACCCTTTGTTTTTGGGGGACTCTTGGAAACTCTACACGTGGAGGCTTAAATTGGACACACAGGAAAGGAAACATAGCAATTTCAGTCATATCCCCAGGGCCACAAACACAAGAGATATTCACGGGTATAGTGTACCAAATGAAAAATAAATCTCTATGAAATAATTACTAAGAAAGGATTATAAGGTTTACAATGCCTGTAATAAATAATAGAAAGAGAAATTCAACATATCATAACACACTATAACCCAGGTTACCATATAGTCATTCCCTTATGAGTATGTTACATCCAAATCTTCCTGTGGTCTATGTTGCTTCCAAATCTTTCTGTCAATATCGAAGTTCTTTGTATAATAAAGTTTCTTTGCAATGGGGGGAAAAAACTTGTAAATGTCTCAATTCTTAAGGATGACAAAACTTGTAAATTTCTTGATTGCACACACAGTATACTTCTTCACCGAATACCTTCTCCAAATGACATTACACATGAAAGACTTGTAAGGACCAAATCATTCTATCTGACAAAGTCTGCTAGCATCTTGATTCATTTCACACAGTATTTTATCAAAGATGGAACATATCCACGTAACAATTGCATTGAGTCTTCTCATCCACAATAAATGCCCTATACATTCACCAAGGAACCATCTGTTGTAACAAATGTATCCCCAGGGCCTACAGCTTAGATGGTAGGGGAAGCCCACGTGGGAAGTCCAGGGTTTCTCCCATGCAAGTGCTTAAGTTTCAGGATGTAGAGCAGTCCCCAAAAGGCTAGGCAGATCTAGGGACAGAAATGAGAACACACTGCAAGATATTCTCAGAAGCAGGGGTCGTTTCGTAGAAAAAGAGCTAGGGGAACTCATTAGCATAACTCATTAGCATATGCCACACCCCCTGACATCACCAGAAGTGTGTCATAAGGCCACACCCCCTGACATCACCCGAAGTGTGTCATAAGGCCACACACCCCGTCCCCAACGGTCCCGGCCGCCACCGGCCTTGCAACTCTACTGCCGAGCCCCATGAGGGGCCTGGCGGTGGACCTGCAAGGCCAGCGGGAGTGCGAGGAAGCCCCGCGAAGGCCCTCCCTGGCCCCAGGCAGGCAGGGGTGGGGAGAGGCAGGGAGGAAGCAACTTACCCTCCCTCTTCTCTTGCCTCCTCCTGGCTGAATGAGGGCCGGAAGCGGGGCGGCCAGAAGCAGGGGGCGGGGCTTCGTCATGTGCTCCGCCCCCCGTACCTCACCCGGGGGAACTGCGATCCCCCGCGATCCCCCCCAAAATGACCTCTGCTCAGAAGTCACTGCTTTCTTTCTCCTGGTAGCAAATCTGATAAACAGGGCTGAGGGGGCTCACATCCCAACAAGGGGGAGGCTAGGAATGAGAGAACTCACCATTTAGGCAGCAATAAGTTGATTAGCATGGAAGTGAAGGAAGAAGATGGACTAGAACATGCACCTCACACCCTGCAGATCATTCTTTTAATTTCATACAAAAGAAAATTCTATATTGTGGGCATTTAGAATTGTCTGTTGGGCCTAGTGTTTAAACCAGACATGTATACCAGAGCAAGTAAAACTGCAGATGAGGCAAGTTACTGCACTGTTCTGGAAGTGGTTCCAGGTTCCATTGAGGTTTTGCACCATCAGACCCAGCTATTGTTGATTGCTGCCCCATTCACTAATATTTTTGCTTATCACTTTCCCAAAGCAGCCATCCTGCATTGGATTCATGAGGTTCATTATCACTACCTGCTTCTGCTCATCCCAGCAACCTTGTTTTCTGCCCCCCGCCCCACTGTCACCCCTTTCAGGTAGCCTCCATTGTTTTGTATAACACACCAGCAATGATCCAGAAGGATTATGAACATGGAGAAGTCTGGCCTTCTGCCTTGGTAGAGAATAGCTGTGCAGACAATAGACAACGTTTTCAGACCCTTTCCTGTGTGTGTTTCATGCTGAAGCCAGCTAAGTTTAGTTATGAATAGGGAATAGGGATCAATGTCTGTTTACCAAGCCCCGGTAAAATAAATGCAGCCATGAAAAATCCAAACATTTACTGGGCAGCTTCAGTAAAGAAGTTCTGGATGCAAGTCATATGAATGGGTTTGCCAGCTCTTTTGGTGTAGGAAGGCTCCTCTGTCTTTGAAAGCTGTTTTGGCAGACTTCAGAATCGTAGTCAGAGCTGTCCCTTTCAGCATTTAACCATGGGAAGGACAATTGTGATGGGGAAACAACTGCTAATCAATTTGAAATGGAGCAGGAACAATTACTAGAACAGCTAGAACAGGAGACTTGGCTACTAGATGCACACAGATTGCCGTAACTTGGTCACAGAGTCCATTGAGGCCTCTATCCCATTGGAGGTCTGCTTGAAAAGACCAAAAAGAGAGACAAAGGCCGAGTTCAGACTGGCAGTTTGAAGTGGGAGGGAGTCGTGGCAAAAAAGACCCGGAACAAACTGTTCTGGGTTTTCCCGTTCACACTGCAGCTACTGATGCAGGAGCATACCGGGAGGAGGTACAAGGGAGCGTTCACACTGTTGGCCCACCCTGGCTGTAAGGTGTGGCTTTCTTTTTGGTAATCTGGAGATATGTGCTTATGTGCATAAGTGCACAAGAAAAACGCAGCTTTCGGCGTTCACACTTTGTTGGTGTGGGATGGACAGGGTTAATCGCACTTTCCAGGGTTTGATACCACTTTCACCTGGTATCTTTTAAACTCGGGAGGGAAGCGTTACGAGACGGGTTGAGTACGGCTGGGGAACGCCGTGCAGATGTGCCTGTGTGAACGGCCCCTTTAATCTGGTTGTGAAACGTTTCTGGCTCGTGCCTATATCGGGACAGACTGCCAGTCTGAACTCGGTCAAAGAAAGTAATGCATATTGGTTCACAGTAGCATTCAATAGCAAGTGGGCTCAGGAACTCAGAGCATTATGCTCTTCCGGTTCCTATATTTTATCCAATCTTATTTGGGTTCCTGCTTGATGAAATTCACATGTTGAGAGATATTATAGTCACTGAGCCAATACTTATCCATCCCTTATACAGAGTTGCATTAGATTCGTTGGTGTAGTTTGATTGGGCTATTCCATGAGGCTCTAATCCTACAAGGTAAGAGATCCTGAATGTGTTACAAACAGTACTAATGGTGGAGTGGTTGATAGTTGCCTATGGTTGTGCTCTCTACTCCCCCCCTCCATGTGGGGTTAACTGGCATGACATTCTGTCAACATTGGGGTGGCAGTCTACTAGCATACTTCTGTAGGAGGCAGCTTTCTGCTCGGCATAATTTCTGTATAAATATCATGTGCCCCATGAGTGGGAGACACCACTAGCAACTGTTGAGGGAGGAAGGAATGTTGATCCAGTACACAGTAGGTACATGCTGTTGTGTGAGTTGGGAGACATTTGCAGTAGTCATAGTTTAAGGCGGGGAGTAGGATGCATTGTCCGGTTGTTACCAATTAAAGAACAGTGTATCCAGGTTGATGTGTACCTGTATGGTCTCAGAGCAGAGCAGTGAATACAAAGGGAGCACTATGCACAAACAGCCAAAGTGCCCTTTCTCCAGAGCTTTTAATCACCAAAAAATCTGCCCATTTTGAGTCTGTTTGCCATGTGTCCTGTTATCTGAGATAAGGCAGGACTGTTGAGGTTCTATATTCCCCCTTGTAGAAAAAAGATAACAGAGGTCAGAACATCTTGCTCCTAACAATACTCCCCACAGTTATTTTGGGGGCAGTCTACATGCATGCATATTATACTGTATTTACAGTTAACATGGTTGATTAAACATTTCATTTTCATTTAATTCATTCCAATATAAAATAACTCCCAAGACCCATAAACGAACCACTTGTTTTATAATTAAAACTGCCATCCATCCAGCTGTGTGCACCACATGTGCTGCAAACCAAGAGAGCCAGTTTGGTGTCGTGGTTAAGTGTGTGGACTCTAATCTCGGAGAACCGGTTTGATTCCCCACTCCTCCACTTGCACCTGGCTGGATGACCTTGGGCAAGCCGTAGTTCTGATAACAGCTGTTCTTGAAAGTGAGCAGTTTCTGTCAGAGCTCTCTCAGCCTCAACTACCTCACAGGGTGTCTGTTGTGGGGAGGGGAAGGGAAAGGAGTTTGTAAGCCGCTCTGAGACACCTTTGGGTAGTGAAGGGCAGAGTATAAATCCAATCTCTTCTTCTTCTTCACAGGAAATAACAACTCTTAACAGTAGCTATTGGCTCTGAGACTCAAAGCCCAAATAGTGAAAATAGTGAAAACCAACCAAGTCTTGGCTGCGGTCACACGCAACATTAGCCACGCAAGAGATACGGAAGACAAGCGGAGTTTCCGGTCGCGATCTCACCAGCACATCTGGGAAGCGTAGCGCTTCCGTGGCACAACTGAGGCTTCCTGCCGAAAAAG